GTTGTAGATGCAATGAAATCCCATATAGCGAAAATGTGAATGTGTTGGAAGCCAGACTTATCAATGCCACAAATCTGGCAGCCTGACAGACCGTACCTAAAACTCGGCCTTTGTCCAGGAGCTACAAAGACGTCTGGTACTTTAATGACGAGATAAAGGAGGTCAACCATAGAGTGAACAAGCCCTGGGCTCTAATGGGAGCTCCTACCCCATCATCTCCCACCTAGGAATGGTAGGTGAGTTTGTATTCCTGCATCTCATCAACAATCCCTGGAAAAATTCCACTTTACCCCAGAGTTGGAAGACATAGTTCCCATCCCAAAACCAGAGGAGCCGGGGAGGTATCACCCCATCTCTGTCCTCAGCTGTCTGAGCAAGGCGGCTGAATGAATGGTACTAAATCGGCTCTAGTGCAAAATGAGACCTTCACATGAACACCTCAATGGGTTCACAAGGGGCATGAGCACAGTACACAACATAACCACACTCTTAAGCACAATCAGCACTGCCACATCTGTGAGAGTATTCCTAGACTTGGAAAGGGCTTTTGAATTAGCAAGTCCACTTGTTATTCAGGAGACCCAGATCCAAAAGGAAATTAGAGGAAAGCTCTTGGCCTGGCTAGGCAACTTCTTCATAACAACCAAAGTCAGATTCCAAGCTCACCTATCACAGCACATGCCAGATGCCACAATTGTATGAGCTCTTCGCAAACAACTTCTGGCTACCACACACAGCCAGGGCGTTGATACACTATCAGCTCAAAGACCCTGACTATATAGAAGTTCAGAGGGTAGTCTGTCAATAAGAAACAATACCTCATGCCTAGTCTGAGAGCAGAAGTCGAGAGGGTCATTGCAGCCATCACTCCTCTGAGTGGTAGAACCTACTTCAAGGATGGATCAGTCGATCCTGTAATCCACACTGCAGGCGCAGGCTTTGCAGCAAGGAATGCCACAATATCCATGAGAGTAACAGACAATGCCTCATTGCTACAGGTACAGGCAGTTGCGATCATGGGAGCCCTAGCGCACCCGTCCCTGAGGGAAGGATACGTTGTCATACCTACAGATTCCAGGGCACCCACTGATTGTCTACAACACAACATGCCCAATGACAATAGCTGTGCTTACCTCAGCACAGAGAATTCTTGCTCAGGGTAGAAGAATAATCATAAACTGGCTCCTCAGCCACATAGGCATCAGTTGGGAATGAGCTTGCTGAGAGACTAGTTGCCATTGGCAGGGGTATGCCCCCAAATCCCATGATCATTAAACCAAGCCGAAAAAGCACAGGTCCAACGCCTCAGCTTCACAGAGAGGTAACGAGATCTTTCCCCTCGGCCAAATGGCACCCAGCTGCTACAGGCTATGAGCCACTGGCACTCTCTGAAACACTCAGTAGAGATGCCGAAGTCATTATCCACAGAATCGGATTAGGTTACCATTACGCATGGTAACTCATAGAAACAATTGACTATGCAGACTTTGCCCACAATTTCTGAGACAGGGACCCCCCAATACAGCCGCTAAGCTGGTAAAAAGTTCATGCCCATGCTTACATCGTGGCGGCAGGAGCGCCTGCTGGCAACCCAGCTATCAGTGTAAGCACTAATTGTTAGGGAATCAATTGGGCGAGCCCTAAATAGCTGACACAGGTCGGCCAATACATAAGGAAGGCTGTTCACCTTCGCATGACCGGCAGAGCTACCTCAATGGCTTGTGTTGGTTTTGAATTGTTTGAAAGTAGGCAAGGACTGAAGCTGAATGGTAATTACCTTCAAGAGTAGGAAGCGACAGCGCTGGAAACATCCTGAGGCCGGTCTTCATTCTGGGGCTGACGAGAACGGTCACGTTGTAGGTGCGCCTCAGGCCCCACAGGGTGGCGTATTCCCCATGAGATTCCTTCCGTCCTGATAATATATTCAGAATGATATATTAAGCGGCACAGGTGTACTCGCTCTCGACAAGGCAATCTGTGTAACATCTGACGTCAATCCGCATTAGTTATTTGTGTGAGTGTAGACACACGCATATATATATGTATGTGTGTGTGTGTGCATATATACATACATATGTGTATATATACATATTTATATGTATATGTGTGTGTGCGTGCATGCACGCACACACGTGTATATATAAATTAGATTTTATTGAAATTGATATATATATATATATATATATATATATATATATATATATATATATATATATATATATATTATATATAAACACATGTATAAATACATATATATGTTTGTGTGTATTCATATAGATATATATATAAATGACTACACACACACTTTCACACGCACACGACTACCAAGAGAAAGAGTCAAGGAAATGTTTTTTTTTTTCCCCTTTTCCTCTTTCGCAAACAGAAGCGTGCGAGAACTGCGGCTCTTTACTATCACGATATCATCATACACCTGGCAGCCCGAGGAGGGGCGCCCCGTCACAGGTCTCGCTCGCCTGCGTGAGTCGGCCCTGGCACGCCGGAAAGAAGTCACGAGGTGCAGTATCAGAAAAAATAAACTAGATGATCAGTAGACGATTGTGAATCTGAGATCTAATACAAGCTAGTTATCGAGAAAATCCATTTGTTTAACAAGCCGATCTTTGCAAAAGATCTTTTCGACATTGAAAATTCTTTAGTTAAGCCTGCAGTGCGGACTCTGCCCTGCAAGACACAGGGCCCTTAAACCATGTGCAGAAATTTGCTTCCGATCAAAGCTTTCCTCTGCGTGCTGATGCTGGCTTCCGGCAGCTACTTCTTTCTGAACGGTGAGAAAAGGTGGCGAGCGAAATTCCACACGTATTTCATTATGTCTTTGTCCTTATATCCTCTATGTTCGTGTCTGGATATATGCAGGTGTACGTACATGGGTATTTATATATAGAAAGATAGGAAGACAGGGCACGTGTGTGTGTGAGAGAGAGTGGCTATGTATGTGTGTGTAAATATATGTCTATATGTGTGTTAAACGCACACATATGTGTGTGTGTGGATGGATAGATAGATATAGATATATACATATACATATATATAAATATCTATATATATACTTGTTGCTCAGGCGTCTGATAGTAAGAATGAAGAGGTAGATTAAGACGGCCGTAAAGAACTTCATGATTTATTGCAAACGTTTCGAAGACAATCAAATCTCCATCGCCAGTGCTATGATTAATGAACCAAAAAGATAGAAATGCAGTTAGACAATAGAAATATAAAGCATAGTTCAAATTGGTATACAATTAGGTGGATATTAACGTAAAAGACAAATTAATATACATAAAAACCAAAGACATAATTCAACAAACCACCGAAATGTAATACGCGCAAATATATATATAAAAGGTAAAGGAAGAAAAAAAATGCAAAAAAGTAATACAATGAGAGCCAAGGAATACGTTAAATGATCATTAAGGGTGTGTAAGCGAGTCTAATGGGTGAACAAGGTGGTTGCCGTGGAGGTGTTGTTGAGCTCAGGAGACATTTTCTATATAAACAGAGATTCTGAAATGATAAGATCTTGGCGGAAGGAATGGGATGACAGTATACGAAAATTTGTGTTAGAAGAAGGATGTGAGTATTGAAGAGAGTGCTCTCTTATGGATGAGAATGATGGTCTACTCAGGGGGAGGCCAGTCCGAAATGATTTGCCTTTATGTTCTGATATGCGGTGACGTGACCATGGTGAGGTTGAACCCACGTACTTTGCTTGGCAGCTAGGACAGGTAAATAAATACACTACGTTAGGTCAGAGTGGCAACTCCTAGGTGTTTTTAAGAAGTTATAAATGGTGTTAGTGTTGCTAAAGACAAAAGTAAACTTAATTTAGGGGTAATTCTTACGGAGGAGAATTTTTTTTTTTTTCTTATTTCAAAACTTAGTTTACCCATGTATGGTAATTTTATATATCTGTGATCTCTCTTAACAGTTGACACAGTAAGTTTATTTGAGAAAATATTATACAGGAAATTATTTGTTATTCTATCAAAAATATGTAATGGGTATCCATTTGTTGCAAAGTTTTTTTTTTTTTTTTTCTTTCTTTAATCATGTCATCATGGAAAGTTGTCTTTCTTGCCAAAATTGTCTTGTCTTCGAAACATTTGCAATAAATCATGAAGTTCTTTACGGACGTCTTAGTCTACCTCTTCATTTATATATACATTTATATATATGTGTGTGTGTGTGTGTGTGTGTGTGTGTGCATTTGTGTGTGTGTTCATGAATATGTGTGCATACAAATATATATGTACAGTATATATATATATATATATATATATATATATATATATATATGTGTGTGTGTGTGTGTGTGTGTGTGCGTACATGGGCATTTATATATAGTTAGAGAGAGATAGGAAGACAGAACACACATATATATGTATATTTATTATATATACATTGTAATATGTGTCTGTTTGTGTATGTGATACGTGCGTGTTCGTGTTCGCATGTGTGTTGTGGCGGCAGGCGGGGGGGGGGGGGGGGGTGTTGATGAGCAATTACCGATCGAAGCGCATATATGTATTCTTAGAGAATCGTAGAAATCTTCCTCGCCTCCATGTGCGGCTGGTGGGCATCAAGGAAGCCCCCGCATGGAGAGCTCGGCCGTGGCTGTGGTTGCGCTCTTCTCGGCGGAAGCGCATCTGTCCTTCCTTGCCTCTTTCTCTTCTTCCGCCTCAACAGATATCCACCTGTGCTGCTCCCCTTTGCCTCAATGTTGTGTTTTCTCGTGTTGGCAGACATGCTTCGCCCGCGAGCGGCAGTTTTCCCGGTGGCTGACAGGCTGACGGCGCGGGCGCTCCGCCCGAGCGAGGTGAGGACCTTTCACGTCGTCGTCGATCTTCAAGTGGCACTCCAGCGCGGTCCTGTGCGGGGATGGCTTCTCGTAGGATAGTTAATATGTGTATAGTTTCAAATACTCTCTTCGTACTGCAAGCCCTATTCGTTTAAAACATCATAGTACAAAACCGAGTATTTAGTGAGTTTTATCGTTTGGATCCACACATACATATATATTACACATGTATGGGTTTATGTATAGATATGTGTGTAAATCTATATGCGTATATATATGTGTATATATACATAAATACTTATATGTATATATACATATATAGGTATATATATATATATATATATATATATATATATATATATATATATATATATATATATATATATATATATTATGTGTGTGTGTGTGTGTGTGTGCGTACATGGGCATTTATATATAGTTAGAGAGAGATAGGAAGACAGAACACACATATATATGTATATTTATTATATATACATTGTAATATGTGTCTGTTTGTGTATGTGATACGTGCGTGTTCGTGTTCGCATGTGTGTTGTGGTGGCAGGCGGGGGGGGGGGGGGTGTTGATGAGCAATTACCGATCGAAGCGCATATATGTATTCTTAGAGAATCGTAGAAATCTTCCTCGCCTCCATGTGCGGCTGGTGGGCATCAAGGAAGCCCCCGCATGGAGAGCTCGGCCGTGGCTGTGGTTGCGCTCTTCTCGGCGGAAGCGCATCTGTCCTTCCTTGCCTCTTTCTCTTCTTCCGCCTCAACAGATATCCACCTGTGCTGCTCCCCTTTGCCTCAATGTTGTGTTTTCTCGTGTTGGCAGACATGCTTCGCCCGCGAGCGGCAGTTTTCCCGGTGGCTGACAGGCTGACGGCGCGGGCGCTCCGCCCGAGCGAGGTGAGGACCTTTCACGTCGTCGTCGATCTTCAAGTGGCACTCCAGCGCGGTCCTGTGCGGGGATGGCTTCTCGTAGGATAGTTAATATGTGTATAGTTTCAAATACTCTCTTCGTACTGCAAGCCCTATTCGTTTAAAACATCATAGTACAAAACCGAGTATTTAGTGAGTTTTATCGTTTGGATCCACACATACATATATATTACACATGTATGGGTTTATGTATAGATATGTGTGTAAATCTATATGCGTATATATATGTGTATATATACATAAATACTTATATGTATATATACATATATAGGTATATATATATATATATATATATATATATATATATATATATATATATATATATACATACAGCATATGTATATACATATATATATACATATGTGAGTATATACATGGATACATACCTACATGTGTATTTACGTATGTATGTATGTAGATAAGTATATATGTGTATGTATATATAGATAAATAGATAGATGAATAAATAGATAGATAGATCCAGATATAGATCTACAGCATATATAAATAGGTATATACACGACTACACAACACATTAATGTGTTGTGTAGTACAATCAATCTTGCAGACCAGCGTTCAGGACCCGCCCGCCCCATTCCTTGCACAGAGGGGGTAGCTTAGAAACACAATAAACGGACAGCCATAATTTGACTGAAGTCACAAAAACCTGTCCCACCCAACCCTAAATTATTATCATTATCATTATTATTATTACACACACACACAAACACACACACACACACATACATATATACATGCGTGTGTATGTATATACATACTATATACTATATGCTCAGTATGTATATACATCCATACATACTCAGCATGTATATACATCCATACATACTCAGCATGTATATACATCCATACATACTCAGCATGTATATACATCCATACATACTCAGCATGTATATACATCCATACATACTCAGCATGTATATACATACTGAGCATATAGTGAGCTGCGAATTGACGCCAGATGTTCCATAGATTGCCTTGTCGAGAGCGAGTACACCTGCGCCGCTTAATATATCATTCTGAATATATTATCAGGACGGAAGGTCAGACTCGGCGCCCGTCACCTCGGTACCGCCCACGAACGCGGCGCCCGTTACCTTGATACCGCCCAGCAAGAGAGTGAAGTACGCGAAACTCAGCTGGCTCGGCTACCCCCTGCCTGTGCTCACGTGCCAGCCGAAGGGTCGCCTGGGAAATCTCATGGGGGAATACGCCACCCTGTGGGGCCTGAGGCGCACCTACAACGCGACCGTTCTCGTCAGCCCCAGAATGAAGACCGGCCTCAGGATGTTTCCAGCGCTGTCGCTTCCTACTCTTGAAGGTAATTACCATTCAACATGAATCCTCGCGCACTTGGTTTAACGACAGATATCACAAGTATTTCTCAATTGCACATCACTTTTCAAAACCAAAACAAGCCACTGAGGTAGCTTTGCTCCCAACGCCTGCAGCCCCTCCCAGAGCGCCAGGCCCTTCGCTACACCAGCGCCCGCGCACAGAGTGGCGGAGGGTGGGCAGGAGAGGCGGCTCCCTCTACAACTTCTCGCTGGTGCAGGCGGCGTCTGCCGGCCTGCTCGGCCCACACCACTTCCAGATCCAAAGTAGGGGTGGCAGTGAGCATGTGTGGCAGAGGATGTTTGTCTGTGTGTTTGTCATTGCCAATGTATGCTGTATGTGTCTGTATGTATATGTTCGTATGTTTTCTTGTTTCTTTCTTTCTTTTTGTAT